GTAGACTAATAAACAGAATATGCACTGCTGAAGACTTGACATTTAACATAACATCTTTATTCAACAAAAGCACTGTCTACAACCATATAAGGCCACACCAATTTAATTTGTTGTTTCTCGGATTTTTTCAGAAAAAATATGAAGCGACAGGGCGAAATGAAAAAAAAGCCAAAGCACCCCATAATAGCCAGAAATGTTACAATATGAGCCATGAAGTGAACATACCAGGCTGGTTTATAATTACATGTAAAACAATAGATTTTGAACTTTTAATGAAACAAAATTGCATTGTTACATTGAAAAACTTTAACAACGGGAAGAAAAGGACTTTCTTCAACCATTGGGGCCAAAATACACTGTATGTCTTTCATTGAGCATTTTGCAGTTGATTTAGGCCACACCAATTTAATTTCTTGGTTAACGGATTCGCCGCTTCATTTTTTGCTGATTTGCAAATAAAAATAAAAATTCAGAATCAACTGCAAAATGCTCATATTTTGCCCTGAACAGTTGAAAACTGTCCTTTTCTTACTACTTGTTACAGTCATTCCATCTTTCAATGCAGTGGTATAATTAAAAGTTCAAAATTCATTGTTTAAATTTTGAACCAGCCTGGTGTGTTGACTTCATGGCTCCTATTGTACAATTTTGAGCCATAATAAGATGCCTAGGCCTGTTTTTATTTTTATTTTTTTTTCGCCCGCTCGCTCCATTATTTTTCTAGAAAAATCCGTTAACCAAGAAATTAAATTGGTGTGGCCTTAGAAGAAAAAAAATTTTTTTTTCAAATCAGAAAAAAATGGACAGGGCAAATCCGAGAAACAACAAATTAGATTGGTGTGGCCTAAGGACATTTCCTGGTTCTACAGCTGTTTGTAATTTGGGATATGTTGTCAATACCGGTATAGATAAAAAGCAGCTCCATATAGATTGTTATCATTTGTTTTGAAAAATTTTTTGTGCAGACAGCATATTGCAAATTGAATGAATAGTAAGTACATAAGCATAATAATATTTAGACTTATCATTGCAACAAGCAATTTAAAAAGCACATTACTCTAGACAGCCTCCATTGAAAATGAAAACTTAAGTTTACTTTTACTTTATTTCAGGCACCAAAGGCCAATATTCTTACATAAGGCCACAGCAAGTAAATTTTATGGGTGGCATCCTCAGCAGACTCCAAATCTAGTACAAAAAAAAACAAGATTCCTACATTTTCAAATATTGACATAAACCTTGTTAAACAAGAAGTGATACCAGTTATACCTATATTGTGCTAGGTTTACTGCCAACTATTACAACATCCATTTATCAGTGAAATATATCAGTGTCTGCTTCAAAGTAAAAGACAAAAACATTAAATCAAAGCCTTGTCTTGCCTCATCTCTTCATAGTTATAATATATGTCATCCACATTCTGGCATGGCAACGGACATCTTTGTCCCCTGGTAGCTTTTTGGCATGTTGACCACTGTCAGAGGGCAACAAAATTTCTTGTTTTTGTGTCAAAAATCAGGCGAAAATCAATGCGCATGCTGATGGCATCCATGAAGATTACTTGCTGTGGCCTAAGATTAAAAGCAGAGAGGCATATATACAGCTCAGCTAACTGGGTAAAAAACAGTGAGATAAGGTATAGTGTTAAAAAAACAATAAATTCATTACTTTTTCAACACCAGATCAGCATATTGCTGCCAGTAGCCAGAAGATTTAAGGTAGCTTGGAACAAAAAGGGGCATTTTTGTAATAAGTCCGGAACTGGTTCTTACCTTTCAGGGTTTTTTGGACTTAAACCTAAACTTTTTTACAAGTCCGGAACCAGTCCAGTGAACCGGTACACCACACTACATATAAGTGTGTTAACTTCCTTCTACAGTCATCAAAGGTGTCTACACCCTAGCTCTCACACAAACATTAGGCTGGCACGCTAAAAAACTGTTACTCAAGCAACTGGATATGATTTTGGAAACAGTCAGACTTTTCAGGTAGCATCCACTACCTTTTGCCAGTGACACTAAGAGACCGCAGGAGAAATGCAGGTTTATAAGCACGAACTATTGATTGATTGATATGCAAATAATCGAGACATTTTTAAAGTCCGAAAAGAAAAAAAGACAAGTCAATACAAGGAGACTTACTCATTAACAAGTACAAGTACAAGTAGTACCCTGGGTGTATTGCATCCACAACTGGGCACAATAGCCTACACTGGACCACTGTCAAAGAGAGATTGTACGCAGGAACACTTTCTATGTTCAAGAAACTTCTCACAACCAAAAAGCCAGAATCCATCTACAAACGATTACAGACAGTTAATGATACACACCAACACAACACACGCCTAGCGCATAGGGGGGGGCTTCAGACTGCCAAAACCAAGAACAGCCTCAGCCAAACGAACATTTCTGTACCGTTGCACTAAATCATATAATGCACTTCCACAACACATCAGACTATCCGCACCTACGTCGTTTAAGAAACACATCCGGGAATGGTTGAAAAATGTGGTGGACACCTCCAAACCCTTACAATCTTGGTGGTGGTAGAAATGTTGACAAAGTGTAAATATGAATTTTTTTATTATGGGTTCACCACACCACGAAGTGGTGTGTGGTGAACCCATATTGCTTTTTCTGGTGTTTCTTCTCCTCCTCCTTCTTCTCCTGCCATTTTTTAAATGGATTCAGCTTCTTCATTTTAGGGCCTAAGGTCCTGAAATTTGGTATGGAGGTACAGTGGGCAAATACCCCTAGGCGTTTTTTAAATTTTTGTGATACGGGCTTTTAGAATGGTTTTATTTGAGTTTTTTGGCTGTGTTATAGCAAATGTATTACTGTGTTAGTGTGCCGTGTTTACCACGTTTGGGCATGAGTCATCACAATGGAATGCAGGGCATCAACCAATAGGCATGCAGCTTTCCTCTATTCTTCTTGCTGATTGGCTGTTGGGATTTAACTTGATTAACACCTGCACAGAGCATTTCCACCTGCACAGAGCATTTCTTGCTGATTGGCTGTTGGGATTTAACTTGATTAACACCTGCACAGAGCATTTCCATACTAACAGTATGTCTGTATTCAAGTGTTTTGGTAGGTATTTCAAGCTTTCCTGCTCCAGCATTGGAATGCGGGGCATGAACGTTTTTTTTTATTTTGAAAATCAACAGTTTGCATTATGCGATTAAAAATCCTAACCAATAAAGTAGGGAATAGCTATCCAACTGTTGTTTTAGTTGTATGTTACTTCATATTATAGTTATATTTTTCCTTAAATCATTGTTTTCCCTTGTGTTTCTCATTCTTTCCCTGCCATGTCGTAAAATGTGGTGAACCCATCGCTGTATTTGCTCCAAAGCAAATATTGGCCTTTCTAGTTTTATAATAAGACCTCTGACCTCTCGGTACAACTTGCATGTTGTGTGTGTTTATGTAGTTTGTAGTGAATTAAAGCATTACCATGTTGTTACGATAGTAGTATATATATGTAGTTAAATGACTCCATGACCTGCTTCGAGATCGGTTCCAGGGGACTCATCACACCCGACAACAAGAGCAGACTTACGACATTGACTGCCAAAGAACTTCTTCAAAGACATTAGCCGTATTGCCATCTTATCGTCACGAGCCGAATTGGGACTCAGACACCTTATTGTAACTACTTACGTCATCTCACACTAGATAGTAAATTCTTATGACAATTTTAATGAATACATTACATTAGTTTCACTCAAAAATTAATGGACAATTTGGAATTTTCACGTAGAATAATCCCATAGAAAAAAAATTTCCGGCAGAAATTACTGATGCTGGCAGAAAGACTTAAACCTTGACTATACCCAAGTAAATTATAAAGAAAACTCTACTACAGCACAACTGTAATTTTTTTAATCGTCCACAGGGCGAGGGATTGCAAAATGGACTCTGAAGAAGGCGTGGAGCGAAATCTAGGTCAAACGCTGGTTCGGCCCCACTTGGAATATAGTGCCACCGTCTGGGACCCGTACACCATCAAAGGGATACAGGCGGTGGAGGCCGTCCAGCGCAGGGCCGCCCGAGTGACCCTGAATGACTACCAGCGGACTAGCAGCGTGACACAAATGCTCAACGACCTGCAGTGGCCTCTCCTCTCCGAAAGGAGGAGAAAGGCCCGCCTCACAACTTTTTATAAACTCACCCATAATATTATTAAGATCCCCACCAGCAACCTGCTCAAGCCAGCCCAAGGGCGTACCCGAGGGAGCCACCAGTATAAATATCAACCTATACATGCACGAACAGACACTTACAAATATTCCTTCTTTCCCAATGGAACGCCTTGCCTGGCCCGGTAGTTATGGCTGAGCCCACCGTTGAGTCCTTCCGGGCCAGGCTGGAAGCCTGCCCGCCTTAAACCAAGGCCTCCCCCCCCCCAAAAGTGCCCCATCAGGGGCTATATGGGGGTGTAGCCGGGGCTCACATAACATCTTTGAGCCCCGGCAAAGATGAAGATGAAGATGAAACGGGCAGATTACACTCAGCGCAGAGGATTACCCGGAAGTAAGGATCGGAGACAAAAGAAATTTTCACCCCAAAATCACCATTTCTTACCCTCTTCAGCCATCTTATTAACTTTTCTTCCTATTGTCCCAGTACTGTTCCAAAAATAAATTTAATTGTCCCGAAGGATGAACTGTTCCAACCTTTTTTTTGTGTGTGTGTGTGTGGGGGGGAGTATTGTATGACTTCCACTTGAAGTCAACTTTAGTTTGCTTATGTTCACTCCCAGACACACTATAATTGCAGAGTAGACAGGAAATTCAGGGGGATTTTCCGGATCCAAAAGCTGGGACGTGGTGAGCCTGTCATAAACAAAAGAAGGGCTCAGCCTAACATTCTCATGCTGATTATTTTTCTATTGTCCCCAAAATGTCCCAAACTGTCTTTTTAGTTGTTTGTCCCAGCCTAAATATTAGTCGTCAGTGGCCGTTGGACCACCTTTAATTTTGAGCCCTGGGGAAAGCAATGATGGCCTGCCTCAGCAGTATCTGATATGTGGTGAATATGACAACAACGAAGATTTTGGAAAGATAGTGATGTAGTGGTCCCTGCAACTCACAATAAGCTGGCCCTCCCTTCCTATAGCAACACGCAAGGGCTGCCTGACATTAGCGATGGAGCGAATATATTCTCCTTCAGCTGTGAACATCTCCACCCGATTGTTTCCCCAATCAGCCACAATGATGCGACCCAAACTGTCCACACAGATGCCCACAGGAGACTTCAGGTGGTTGCTAGCTCCCTTTCCTTTGCGGCCAAAGCAGCTGATGTATTTTCCATTCTTGTCATACTTTAGAACTTTATGGTTTTTCTCCTCAGTGATGTAGATGTTCCCTTCCTTGTCTACTGCAACATTTGATGGTTTCTTTAGTTCTTTCCCACCGAAAGGTTGTATTGTGCATGAGTCTTTATTAAACCTACAAGCTGACCCAGTCTTCACTTTACGTCTCTTTACTCGTCTGTTAGCTTTTGAGATCATTATGATGTCATCAGAAAGTGTGTCCAAGGCAAATTTGTCTGGGTACTTCAAGTTCAATGGTGATGTACACGGGAACTTTTCAAGAAAATGACCCTCCCTGCTGTAGCGATAGATACGATTTTTGTTGTCTTCAGGCTTAACAAAATTATTTTTGGTCATTCTCTCCGACGTCAGAATGACCCACAGTGTATCATTCCGGTCCATGGCAATGAAATAGGGTTTCCTTTTTCCTGTAGTAATACTGTGGAGGAAATCGCCCTTCATGCTGAAGACTTGGATTCGTCTGTTCCATGGGTCAGACGCAAATATTTCGTTAGTCGAGGACACAGCCAGTCCACTCACATAGTAGAACTTGCCGTTCAAGGGTTTTCTCTGTTTTTTCCAGACTAAAAGTCCTTTTTTCCAGATTTTTCCATACCCGCCAAATGTGATGACTGTTCCTGTGTCAGTCTGCTGAGTTCCCAATCCTGTAGACAAAACATACATGAAGAATGCTGACAATAATTTAAAGTATTGAAGTCCCCAAAACAATACCTCCATTTTCAATGAGGTGTTGTATTAGTCATGTAAACACTGCTTTTCCCAAGGGTACAAAGTGGGTGACTTGGCAGGATTCGAACCCGAACCTCTTGGTTCTGAGTCAAATGCTCTCACTGCCTTTACGCCACACAACCCCACGTTTGGGAATGGATCATGTTTTGAAGACAAGCAAATTCCACCTCTGTTATCCCAGAACATGTTTTACAATACTAATGCATTCTACTTCATACTAAATCATTGAATAGAACATATTTTGGAACGAAACGGAGGAAAAATCATGTGAAAAATGGATTCAAGAAGATTTCAGTGTTTTAATACATTGTAGGTATGCAAGAGACGAGGTTTTGTAACCTGTATATGTAGATTTAAGAAAAGAGAACATTTTGTAGATGAAACAATTTCTATGGTTATCATATTATAAGCTGCTACTTGTAATACATGGATATTATGATGATATTTGATTGGTAATACTAAAAATACCATTAGTGCCTCCAAGGCTAGTTTGTTTGGTACGATTGGTGGTCCCAAGGATGGGTGGGCTGGTATCATCATTGTATGTTGATGTCTGTGACACATAATATGATGACATTTTATGGGTAATACTAGTACCGTTCGTGTCTCCAAGGCTAGTTTGGTTGGTCCCATTGTTGGTCCCAAGGATGGGTAGGCTGGTAGTACAGTTGAAGGTAGTACAGTTTGTGGAACCTTGCATGTGCATTGGGGGAACCTGTAAGTGTAACAACATACATGTAGCAAGGCTCGAAATACTGGGTGCATGTGCACCTTAGTGCCCCCAAATTTGGAGCTGTGCACCCAATCTTTTTCTGTGGGTGCACCTGAGTGCAAATATTTTTGTGGGTTTACATAATTATGGAAAAGTGTCAACTGTATAATAGTATACAGCATATTCCTAACATCTAAGTGTCAGAAAAATAATAGAATCACTGTAATTATAGTACTTTTCTTTAGAAATGAAACATAATTAGTTTTTGTTGATCTTTCTCTCTCTCCTCTCCCTTTCTCTCCCTCTCTCTCCCTCTCTTTCTCTCTCCCTC